ATGTAGCTTGTATTCCAAGCAACATATGAGAGCTCAATCTAACCCTCTTGTAGAATTGAATTGAATTGATGCCTTATTTTACGCGGCGAGACTCGGGCCACCAGGCCCGCTCTTCCGTCTGAGCACACAAATTTTGTTACGCTCCTTTTCCCCACTAGCGGAGAAAGGAGGTATTTCTTGAGCGACGAAACAGGTGATTTGAATTTAGTTCAGAGGCGTCATTTAGGCTTGAGGATTTTACACAGTACATGTTAATCTACTAACATGGGACAGCCGGCTTTACTTCCCCTCCGCAGGAAGGCGTACGAAGGATTTTTCACCTTTAAAACTCCACTTCGATCGTGTTTGAACCCGCCAACTTGGGTATAACAGCCCGATACGCTAACCGTTACACCACCGCCGCCGCCGGTAAAAGATGCCGGGTATGTGTAGGAAGGGAAAAAGGACTACTTCCCAATTTGGCACTTCGAGATTCGTAACAAATCTGGAGTACAGCAGGTTGACTCTTGAAAATGCAGCAATATGTATTTAATCCGCCAAAATACATTTTTGAGGGCGTTTCTGAGGCATCTTCCATTCTATTGGCGGCGACGGCCATGCTCGAGCCCGAGTTCTCGGTGGTGTCGCCCTCCAAAGGCCCATTCACAATGCAAACATAAGCACACGCATGGCGTTAACATTAACGTTAGGAGTACGTCCATAAGCGGACTCTTTCACAATGTGTTCGCATAAGCATAACACGTAGGAAGTTAACTTGCGAGCTTCAAGCTTCTGTGCTTATGCTTAAGTAATGCATAAGAAATGAACCAATCACACAATACGTTAACTCAAAATCAAGTATCGAAATGGGATCGAATTCGATAACGAAATAATGCCATTAGGGCCATGGACACAGACGATACCTCGAAGTGGATTCTCACATCCAACCAATAATAAACCAGAATATCTCAGAAACTCTTATTTTGAAGAATGATTTTTCAAAATCTTTAAGTTTCGATTCGAGCTAAATGGACAGGGGGTTCTTCAATTTGGAAAAAATCCTGCACGCATTGTGCGCGCGTGGGTGTCTTCGTATAACTACAAAATGGAAGATAGAGATTTTTTCCTGAAAATAAAATTTGTTCTCTAAAGTGTGTTCTTTCATTAAGGTTATGTACAGTTGTTTGAAAATTTTAGTAGTTTTCGCGAAATATTGCGAGCAAAATGTGCAATTTTAAAAATATACTACAACAAAATTTCTCAAAAAACGGTCCAAATTTATTCTTTAAAATTTTGGTGGGTATTGTGGTAAATGCACTCTCTTAGATGACATAAACACCATATAGCTCTATTCTTTTTTTTATTACAAAATGTTTATTTTGACATCTCTCACGTCATTAATATTTACATTAGCTGCAATTTATTTATATTAATGTATTTATGGGAAAATATGCTTTAAATAATGTCAGATAAAGTTTCCCGAAAACTCAATAGTTTTCCGTGAAAATGAGCTCAAAATTCGGCATTTTCAAAGACGCTCAAACACCATTTTCTCAAAAACCAAAAAAAAAGAACACTAAAATTGTTCTTCAAACTGTTCTAAACGATAGTGCTAATTGTACTGTTTAAGATGACAAAGAATAAATTTTGCTGAATTAATTTGTTTTTCAAAATTTAAATGTAATTTATAAAGTTCAATGTAAAATGTAATTTGTTTGAAACATCTCTCATGCCTTTAATACGCACAATTCCTACGATTTGTAACCATTATTTCATTTATGACTAAAAGTACCTGAAATGACGCTAAATGATAGTTAGCGAAATAGTCTTGTGTGAAAAGAGGTTCAAATTTCTAATTTACAGTAGCACGTAAATGCTATTTTCTTGAAAACAGCTCCAAATTTTTCATTGAAAATCGCCATTTAGGACGAGGTTTTACTGTCCTTTAATATTTTTTAAAGTAATAATTCGATTGTACTATTAGGAAGACGAAAAATTAAGAATGTATTTAAAAAAATGTACTAGGGGTAGTGGCAGATGGTAGTTGGCAAGGAATAGCTATACGAGACAAATTGAAATAGAAAACTAATATCGAAAAGTTTTATGCCATTCTGTAGCACCACTAGCTTTTCTTAGTAACACAATATGCCTGGTTTAGGATTGTTGTTTATGCAATAGTGTGTTTATGCACAGTTACTTGAGATTTCCATGTGAACTTGATGGTACAGAGTATGTTAATTTATTTTTCTGTTGTTTGTTCTGTATTTGTAATAGCAGTAAAGTAGAATTTAATTACATGAGTTTGTGTGGATATGACTTTGTTTTTTTTTCTCTTCTACTATAATAATACTAAACCAAGGTCCGTAAATGGACCCGTTGGGACGTGATTTCGACCACACACTAGACACGAACACGAGGCCCTCCGCGACAACACTTACATTAGAAACAAGGGTTCATGCAACAGACAAACAAAAAAACAAACAACCATGCTCGAGGCGGATCTTTATATCCGCGACTTATCCGTCAGAAGCCACCTCTGCCAACCAGGTCGGCCAAAGAAAAGGTTGTATTATATCTTGAGAACAGTAATAAAACTCCCGACTAGTTGCTAAATTTAAAAAACAATCCTCGTGTAGTAGTGGCGTAGCCAGAATCCCTGTTTTTTGGGTTCTTTATATCGAAAAATTGATTGACGGCAAAACGTCCGACTGTCCGACAGTGGTCAACGCTTGCATCAAAACCGTTCAACCGATTGCCTCCCAAATTCATTTTCCGCGATCGATCTAAATGAACTTGTGGCTTTGTGAGTTTAAAACAGATATTTCTATTTTTGAGGATACTTTACATGAAGACTCAAAAACATTTTCAAAATATTCCCCAAAATTCATCAAGGTGGCTCCACACATTCGGCGTTTGCTGAGAAGCGAGCTACTGCTCGCCCAATCCCGAGAAGCTGATGAGTTCGGCGAAAGTTTGCTCCCTTTGATGTATCCTAAAGACCGACACGCGGTGAATGGGGCCAATACCGAATGTTCGGCGCTTGGCGAAACGCAATCAATCCGTCCACATTACTCGGGATTCGGCGAGCGGTTACTCAGGATTCGCCGAATGCCGCATGTGTGGAGCCGCCTGCTCCAGGCAGCGCTGGAACCATCCTAGTGGGTGTTGAAGCAGGGGAGGGGAGGTGATGGCACGCATGCAACACTAGCGCCCCGCGCGGAGGACGCAAGCGGTGGCGGCGGGGCAGCCCTTGACTCGGCTCGGTGTGGAGACCCTTTATATTTAGATTTATTTAGTCAAAACAGTACAAACTGTATGTTGTTTGTGGAGGAGAAGATCGTTTGTGCACGTTTTCTTGACTTACAGAATCCCTTCCCATCATTTTATCTAAAAATAGTTGAAAATGGATAAAAATTAAAGATAAATAAATAAAATTAAAATTAAAAAAGCTCGAGGTTAGCGACATTTAAAAAAACTAGACATTTTCGTTCCCAAGTTATAGAAAAAATATTTGAAACAATAAACGATCTGATGATTTGATTGAGGAGAGTTCAACAAAACGTGCGCATAGTGAAGTTACATTTACGCCCAGAAGCAAAACGAAGGGCCACCTCAGCATTTGCTCAATGGACTTATCCATTGAGCTGAACTGAACAACCTGATCGAGATTTCCTGTCGAGCTTCACGTGGTATTGAGTCGCCTTTAGTTGCCTTAAGAGAATCTGTTATTTATAGACAAATCTTGAAATTACGTAAATGAGTCTCTGAAGTTCTGAAAATTGGAAATGGAAATTATCAACTTCTTTTTAAACGTTGAAAGGTTGAATGCCGTCCAGTCACTAATTGTGTAGGAGTGACATGAAATGCGTGAAAACTGTAAGAACCAGATTTTGAATATCGGTGCATAGAAAAAAAATTGCTGGTTGCAACACTTCTGCAGGTTATGTAGTATTACGAATGTAATATTGTGTAGTAGTTATCAAAAATTCGAGAAATTGTATTGTACTTATTAAGAAGTATTACTTCCTGAATGAAAGAATTACTGGTTCTATTAGGTGGCAGTATTGAATAAATCACACAACATTCGGCTCAATTAAACTCTATCAATTTTGCATTAATTTAATGAAGAGGAAGGGCTTTTTGACAGGTAGGTTTCACACGGATTATCTATATGACATCGGCAAATCGGCTATATGACAATCGTTCAATTAGTGGTAGCTACTACTATATTTTAGTTAGGCACCTGTATGAATTGGAAACTAAGTAAAGAGAGAAAGTTCCTTTAGTTTATTTTGAAAAGCCAAAAGGTTGGAACTATCATCTCAAAAAGCTATATTTATGTAGATGGTATAATTTATGTAGTGTGGTATTTACGTAGATGAGGGTATTTTCCCGTTGTAGATGAGGTTTTTGTTCATGTAGGATAATGAAACAGTTCAATTTTGGGAACTATAATTTTTGTTTGTGCAAATGAAGATGAGAGATTTGTATTAGAAATAATTTGGTTGGAATTATACGCTAGAAAAGTCTCTCCGCACATAATCAGGAGCACTTATGAAATATTGCAATTGTGTTCTTAGCAACGGTGAGTCCGCACTGTATGTTTTCATTTGTTACAAGGTACCTACATAATTTCTGCCACGGCGGAGAGTCTATCCTGGCGGACAGTATGTATTACGAATATTTAATAAATAGTTAAAAATGATAGTACAAACATTACGAAATTCGTTATTTTTAGGCAAGCAGCTAATAAGCAAATCAGCGCAGAGATAACCCTGAGAAACGAAACCTCTTTGACGCTCCAAATCATTGTGTTTGTTTTCCACTCGCTTATCTGGCGCACTCGTCACCTGCGAAGCCGGGGCCTCGTCGATTGGCCGGCGGCGAGTGGACGCGCCGTGTCTCCGGCGGCAGCGAGGCTCTCGAGCACGCACTTGTGGAGGACAATGGAGCGTGGGCGAGGGGCGGCGGCCCAGAGTATATGAGGTGCCGGCGGGGCTGCGAGCGCGCAGACCAGCACCATGAGGGCCTTCACAGCTGCCGCCGTGCTTCTCCTGGCCGCCGCCGCCGCCGCCGGCGCCACCGTCCCCGCGGCGGACGACGTCGCCAGGTACGTGCTCAGAACAACCTCGTCGCGCTGCGCTGTCAGAAACTTCCTCTCATGTCAATTACATTTAAGTAATTGTCATGATCGTGCATTACATTTTATGTAGTACACATGGTAGGAAATGGTGTGGAATTTACACTTGCATCATAATAATTTCAGCTTCTGGGTCAATGACCCCCATCTCGATCAGGTTTCGTCCAGATTCCCTGATCCTCGAGCAAATGCTGAGATGGCCCCTTGTTTTTCTTCTGGACATAAATGTAACTTCAAATTAACTTCTCCCCATAGCAGGTCAAACACAGTTTTTAACTATTTTTGACGTAAATAAATAGATTTTAGGCGTAGTTTTATCGTATGTTTTCCTTGTTGCAGAAAGCTTTCCGCAACAATAAAAACATACGACAGAACTCCGCTCTCAAATCTATTATTAATGTACACAGGGGCGAATCCAGAAGGAGGCGTGGAGGCCATGCCCCCCCCCCTCAACAGGTCTAGACGTTTCCTTGTTACCTTCTTTTATTTGGAAAAATGTACTTAAAGATTTATTTATATTATAATTATGCAATTATTTAAAATTAATATTGTATAGTATGCTATATACATTACAAAAATGATATAGTATATAGTAAATGTTTATTATTTAAGAAAAAATTATGATGCCCCACTCCAAAACGGGCTGGATTCGCTCCTCAATATACACCTGTTCATTGGGATGCAAGAGTCAAAATTTAATGGTCATATCTGGAAAGAATGAATGAATCTATGTTCTTGGTAGACTGGTGATTATGAATATACGATACAAATGATGAGAGGGTTTGAGCGAAAACGAGAGAACCTCTTCATTAAATCTGCAGTGATGTTAATTTAAGCATTAAAATCAATGTACAGATATATTAAACTTTTTAATGTACAATGTTACATTGTTTCATATACTATACATTAATCTACATTAGATTTATTGACATTTCAGACAATGTACGACACTCTTAGATTCTCTTTTTTCATGTTCTAACAATTGTACATTTTAAAATTCAACGGAAATTCAAATATATGATATGCAGAGAAATGATACTGAAAACTGAATATTTTACTTCATAAACCTCTTGGCATATTTCAACTGTGAGTTATTATGTACCTCTGATATGTAATTCTAATATCATTAACTAGGTGATGGTGAGTTTGCAAAGCTGTTTGAAAACTACACTTTAACAGATTTGATATTTTCTAAAACATACGGTCCCTCCCTTCTTAGTTATTCATTTAGAAATAATTGTTGAGTTATCATTAGATTACACTACTAGAAGAGAGGTGACCTAAAATTTGGTTCTGATTAGGATTCAGTCGGTGTTTCATCCGAAAAGTATTGTAGGCTCTCTTCACGGATATTTTACTAATGACTTAGAACTGTAACACTCAAGTATAAGTTTACAATACATTTTAAAGTTTATATTATAATTTGTGTGTATTTTAGAAAATTTCAAAGTGTTAACATTGAAAAAGTACAATATTGATGATAGAGATTTTTGTCTTAAATAAAATGTGTTCTTAAAAATGTTCTATAAAAGGATAATAATGAGAAAGAAGTAGTATTCGCTTAATTTGTGTTTGAAGTTACACAAATTATACAACAAACGTTTTCTCAAAAATCGCTCCAATTTTTTTTTTTCTGGATAGAACAAGGGACGCTTAAAAGAATGGCGGGGCCTCAATTTCGTTGAAACCCTATTTTCGAAAATTGCAAAAGGAGAAATTTGCGCGAAAGTATGTGCTGTTGAACACCACTACTTCTAAATTGATCTTTCGAAGAAGACGTTCCAAATTTTGCGTCATACATATCGACTTTCTCCAGCCGCACATACAAGACCAAACTATTTATGGTCTATGAATTTGCTGATGGCATTTCAAGAGACTTTCAATCTACCTTCTACCAATCTACCTAATGTTTAAACTTTCTAATTTGATACTGAATACATGATTAAACGGTGAGATAATCATTGTGATAAGGAAAAACACGAGTTGAAAGAGGCCTTGAGAGAGTGGAAAACAAAAGTAATGACCAAAACAAGTCACGATAAGACTGATTTTAAAGAGTTCTGCGAGGATAAACTAGTGGTGCTACAAAAGCACGTACTATCTCGCATTATTGCTTTAACTGCTCCGCCATATTATATTATACGCATGCAAAAGTGTTTTCAACCAGAGAAAAAAATCCGCCCCTGAATCCGAACTTAAATATTTAGTACTCTCAGAAGCGCTGAATGGGTCCATCTCGGGCCGACGCTTAAAAAGGTGTATGTTCTCTTAATGTAAAGTAACTTCAAAAATCAAAATATACGTTTCAAACTCCTAAAGCCTAGAGTTCATTCAAATCGAACGGGAAACATCATTTTTTGAGATAATCGGCAGAACGTTTTAGGCGCTAGCGCTGACAAAAAACGGACAGAAAGACGTTTTGTTGTCAATCAATTTTTCGGAATCAAGGACCCACCAAACATGGATTCAGGCTACAACACGTCTTAGAGGGTTTTTCTATATTTAACAACTGAATTTATACACCTTTTCGTTTCCAGAGCCCGGCAACAAAGGTTTCTACGTAGAAACTTCGCCTATTTCCGCCGCACGATTACATATGTTACTCTTCTTTTGAAGTACTTTCGTAAGGGCGAAAAAGTAAACAGAGATTAGTATTATACATGAATTAGTTAGTTGGAAGAGGTTAAATTTCAAAGTGAGGCCTGGGATATATTGAGAAGGTAAAGAGGAAATGGCAAGAAGAATAGAAATAGGTGGAATAGAAATAACCATGAAAGAGTGGCATGAATGGTTGAAGGAAAGATTTGAAGGGAAGGATAACATGGAAGAGATGGAGATGCAGTGAGCTTATGGAGATAAAGGACTTCAGGAGAAAAATAGGCAAGGAAGAAATACGAAATACTGTCAAATAATTAATTAGCTAGTGGTACCACAAGAGTACAAACTTCTTGGCATTGTTTCTAACCTTTTTTGCTGTTTGAAATTTTCAAAAATTCAGATAATTTAACGAAAATGAGACATGCGTCATTCTTTTAAGTCTCCTTTGTTATATCTGAAGAAAAAAAAGAGAGGTTTTTGAGCAATTTTTATTTATAATTTGAGTTAACCTGCTACAAGAATTGCTGACATATGATGACTAATTTTGTCTGTAATTTGTCAAGAATGATATTATTTGTTCTATTTTAAACGCCCTATAAAGCAATTTGTTGATCATGAAAAATAACGTGTCTATGAAGTTTATGAATTTGATCACCATTTAATATTTCCACAGGACTCCTCAAACACGGTCTCAGGCCAATATGAACGATTACTTCGATTCACTAACTGGACAAATTTCTCAATTCTTCATTCTGAATGGACTGGACCCGATGCCGTTGCCTGATCAAGAGAGCGGTTTCAGTGTGGTAAGTATTCTGTCCAAATGCATCTCAGTTGAAACCACAACAAACAAAAACACGTGAATAGAAACAATAGTACATTATGCAACTAGTTTATAATGTTAAGCATTATAGCGTGATTATAAGTTTTCAAATTTGTACGAATGCAATAAAGCAATATTATAAATTTTGTACAACTATTTATTGTATAACAGCACTATAAACTCATAAGAGAATCGAATTTAAATGTTGGAAACAACTTTATTGTGGCGTCACAGGTATTTGACAACTGCGAAAATCGGTGGTCAGCTGTTCGGTTTATCGCTACCTTCCCACGAATATCTCGCTGCCATTGACTGAAAGTATTGTAGGCAATTGTTCGAATAGACGACAATAGAAGACAAATACGTCATCATTTGTACCACAAGATTTCATTTTATGAACAATTTCTTGTAACGAAAGAGTCGGTTACAATGCTGCACACAAAAAATATATTTGCCCCTTTGCGGTCAAAAAAGGCTACATTTCTAAACCTATCTGCCACCGAAATAGTAAGAGGAATAATTTCCCAATGAGGTTCTAAAACTTTCTTGTAGGTAATTTTGAAACAATATATGTTATACTAGCATTATCATCTCTTCCGTTGCAATCAATCGTACATAAAATGGCATTTTATGGCATAGATTATGACGTATTATCTGTTTATTGCACGAGTAACTGCGACATCACATACGCGGCGACTCGTGGCGAACTAATGCTGAAGTAACCATAAAACGTAAAGTCGAGCACCATTTTAGCGCAAGTCTCAAATGCGCGTGAAGTTGTTTTCAAAAATTAATTTTAAATCTTGTATAAATTTATAATACTATTAGCGAATACAACTCATTTACAATGTTGCTTTATTGCATTTTTACACATCTGGAAACGTTTCTTATGCACTAGAACCTAACTCTATGAACTTGTTGCATAACGTGCTATTTTAATGCGTTAATTGTTTCCCTTCATGAGTGCAGTTTTGTGTAATATAAGCATATTTTATTGCAAGTTAATTTCCGACTACGCTGTAGCTTCTTGAATTCACACGGCGGTGCGGAAAGATGAAGTAGTATTGTATTTATTTACAAATACGGACTTGCGATTATTAACTAAAGAAATCAATACTTATTTCTATTATAAGAAAGTTTTCATCGCCAATTTCCTGAAGTAGAAAATCGTTTTTGATGCGCTTTAATATTATGTCCCGGTTACTTATTATTATCATTTGTGAAAAATATATTCAATTTTTTTGTTGACTGCTTTTTTACGATCTCTAGTGGAACTCATTTAACGCATACACGATTCTTTTACAAAACATGAGTTACATAAACAGGTGTTCAAGGAGGAAGGAACGAAACTTGGAAAATAAGCTATTACTTCAATTTTAAGCCTCATTTGTCTAATAAACTCCTTCCGGATTTCGAATAGATGGGCTAAACAACTGAGCTAAATAGCTGAGCTGCAATATACACTTAAAAGTTGGTTTGAAAAAATATTTTCTACGAGAAAATTTACATTTCAACACTCCAGAAGCATCCGTTTCTGGCTGCAAAAGAAATAAACACATTTGTTTTACAAAATATAGAACACGTAAATGAAAAAAAATATTAAATTGTGTAAATTGGTTCTTTTTGAAACATTTGACCCTCGTAGCAATGAACTCATGTTTTCTTTGATGCGAATTTAAATTGTCGCTAGAGTGTATCCACAAACGCTGTTCAAAATGTCCTGCTCCTCTGATACACAACTCGGCCCATTGTAGTACAGAATCTGACTGATTGCAACAGTTCGTGGGTATTCCAGATTTTCTCAAAAAAATCTTCGCGATATGTAATCAATGTGTCATGCGTACACTGGACTGTTTCAATAGCCTCAAAAACAATAATCGAGTGTATCTTAGTCCGGGGATCTTGCCGTCCCCTTTTCAGATCCACTGCGATCTGTCGATCCTGGACACTTCATATGCAAAGTATTTTGCTCCTTTCATTTATAATGTGGGATCGTTCCGTCGTGTTGGAAATACAAGTATTTGTATTTAGGTGGTTCCATTAGTTTCCGCCCTGACCAAGATAAAGCTCATCTGTGGGAAAACCTTCTGAGCAGTGTATGGTCTTATCTTTAATTGTTATCATGATAGACATTTGCAGTCGACATCTCACTCAGTTTTGTGGAGAAAGGTACTCTAGTTGGGTGCGGTGCGAGAAATCTCAAGGTAGAGTCTTCACGTCGACGCACCTGTGCTTACTGCTCATATCGCAACGAATGTTGTGAAGGGCTATGGCTTTAATTAAGGAGTTGGATCATTTACGCTACAATCCGGGTACCCAGCCACGTCCACTACTTCTCAAAACTGAAGAATAAATTTCGGGGAAGTGCAGCTTCAGAGAAAAGTGAGATGAAAGAAGCAGTTTTTGACCATTTTGCGAACAAAAATTCGGAAAATGTTTCGAAGGCCTAGAAATGTTAATAAAAAGATGTGAAAAGTGGGTGAGAGTAAAGAAAGAATAAGTTGAAAAGTTACGTAATTTTTTGTTTGTAGCGAAAATAAAAGATACTGAGGCCGGAAACGTATGAAACCTACCACGTACGTTTTCCAGAAAAGGCGGCGAGAGAGGCATATCCTCTGGAAGATAACATGTTCGCAAATGCATGAAGGTTCTATCAAACAAGTGAGGTCCTATAATTTCATAACTCAGAATTCCACACATCAATCTCACTTAAGGAAAATTCTGCTTTGAATCGACATTCATGTGGCAAATGTCGGTTAAACGGGGTCCATAAATCTCTGTTTTTAGTTATTCCATTTCTCGTGAGCTTTATCTATAAATAATATGTTCCTGTAAATATACGGTCTTTGAAAAAGACAGATACAAACTTGCATTCGTATTTCTGTCTTGTAGTTGTAGGTATTGCACATGACAAAATGTGTCAGGCTATGCACCTTCGTGGTAAGGACATTTCTATATCGAACCCTTCACAGAATCCAAACTAGCAGATCTTCTTATTGGTTGTTTTCATTCGACTCAGCACACACGAAAGTGACTCGTTTCTTGTAAATCCAGAGAAAGGCGGCGTTCGCAGGTCAAATATACAAAACTCTTATGTCGTAACCTTCTGAAGGTAGAAATAATTCGCTTTTAAGCGGCATAATACGATAAAAAATCATTTGCAATATTCACGTACAACTGCATTCCATGCGGCTGTAAACTCTCAGCATTTTTATGCGAAAACCACATCGCAGGGCGCAGTATTTGAAAGAAGACTATTGAGGTAAGAACACAAGCGACTACTTGTTTCACAATTTTTCACAATACGCAACAACGGCCCGCTGATGATGCTGACCAATCAATGGCTACTTAATTCCAATTTTTCAATCGCGCCCCCTGTAGGCGATCACTTTCGCTTTAGCTCCGAACGACATTAATCACGCGAATGTGTCTAATGGAGGAAAATGAACTACATGGTTATAGAAGATTTTTAAGTTAGATCAATTTGAAATTTAAAGATTTAAAGTTTTGTCATTTCCTTCTTAGACACCTGTACCAATGGTTTTGTGACACAAAACTGTACATTTGGTGTGTAGGGTCTTTGCAATATCGGTTTTCTAAAAAACAAAATACTACTAATAAATGATTGGGGAGGGAATTAAGATGACTTTGGTATTTGATGCTTGCTTGTGGATCGTATGCCCTGTCGTACACTGAGGTCGGAGGGGGGCCTTGCGTTTCAAGCGCTGTGGGATGACGCGTGACCTGTTGTGCGCAGAAAGACCTGATCGGCATCCGCTGGCACGGCGAGCTGGAGCTGACCAAGGGCTGGATGATCAACCTGTCGCACCTGGTGCGCCGCAACGACGCCACGCTCTCCTACGACCACAAGCTGCTCGACGTGCGCTTCGAGCTGCGCTTCGACAGCGTCCAGGTCTCTCCATTCACTTCCGATCCTTCCCATTCACTTCCGATCCTTCCCATTCACTTCCGATCCTTTCCCATTCACTTCCGATCCTCATTCACTTCCGATCCTTCCATTCATTCCGATCCTTCCATTCACTTCCGATTCCTTCCATTCACTTCCGATCCTTCCATTCACTTCCGATCCTTCCATTCACTTCCGATCCTTCCATTCACTTCGATCATCATTTCCCATTCACTTCGATCCTTCCAATTCACTTCCGATCCTTCCAATTCACTTCCGATCATTCCAATTCATTCGATGCCTTCCAATTTCACTTATCGATCCTTCCAATTCACTTCCGATATTCCAAATCACTTCCGATCATTCCAAACTCACTTCCGATCATTCAATTCACTTCCGATCATTCCAATTCACTCGATCCATTCCACATTCCACTCGATTTCCAATTACTTCCGATCCTTCCAATTCACTTCCGATCCTTTCAATTCACTTCCGATCATTCCAATTCACTACCGATTCATTCAAATCACTTCGATTCATTCCAACTCTACTTCCGATCATTCAATTCACTTCCGATATTCAATTCACTTCCGATCATTCCAATTCACTTCCGATCATTCCAATTCACTTCCGATCATTCCAATTCAGTTCATTCTAATTATTTAGTGCAATTTTGAATCAAATCTTGATTTTTCTGAAAAACATATTGACAGCTTGATACATTCTCTGAAACGTATTGACTAATGATTGAGAGTAAACGCTTTTACATTCAGTAACACGTTGCTGATTTTACAGATGTCGTACGACTTCCGGGCCCAGATCATGAACATTGGGCCCAAGGGAACCGTCATTGGTAAATTGAAGAAGCTTCAGATTCTTATCGATTTTATTGTCGATATTGAAACTCTGGATATTTACGTGCAAGATGTTCATTTTACGAACACCGGGTGAGTATTTCAATTTTTCTCATGGAGTTTGGCTAATTTCACTATGTAATATAGTCGTCCAAATAATTTAACACCACGGTATAGCACCAACATCTTTCAATTTATACTTTCTCGTATACTTAGTACATTCGTAGTGTAGAGAACAATTGGTCTAATTGCTTTCTGCCGCCTGAACCAAAATGTTTTAACTAGCGTGAATACGAGATGAGAGTTAGGCTAGAGTTAAGTTCCTCAATTATTCTCAAAATAAATATTCTCCGATCCATTAGATCAGACTGAAAACCCTACATATTTAAAACAATTTTTTTGTAGTTGTTAATGAAGGCTAGAGCGTCTTTCACACATTCTTTAAATTAGCTTCTAAATAAAGAGCGTGAAATAGCGTTGAAAGTGGAATTTAGAGCAATAACTTACTCACATAAACCTAATTGATTTGGCTACTGCAGCATAGAAAATTAGCATTTAAAGAGGTACTTTAAAATGATAGATGCCTCAATCGATTACTTTGCTAAGAATTGAATTAACAGAAAAGAACCGTTGATTGCTGCTTTCGCACGTCTGCAAAACCTCGTTGGGGTCCGCCGATGCCGCCAAAACAGACTCATATCGACGCCCGTTGTTTCATAGCTGCTCTCTCCTCTGCCACGGTTTTAACACAGCACATTTTCCACTGCAGCTTTGAATAAAATACGTCACAAGTTTCCCATAGGATGAAAAATCCCAGATGACTGCTATTGTTCACTGCCCGCCCGTCCCGCAAAGAACCTTTATCAGGTTTTCCAGCTCGCGGATCAGGGCTTCAGTTGTCGTCTGACCTCGTGATCTAGTGTCAGCGCGTGTCACTCGCTGGCAGCGAGGGGGGGGGGGCGACGCCTGGACGTCAAAGTGCCGACCTCTGCCGGAGGCTCGCAAACCCTGACGAGGGACGATTTTTGTTATTTCAACTGCCAAAACGTTGCAAGATACTCCGCGCAGAATTGACGGTTTGGAACCTTTAGTCTCGGGTACTTGTATGGATAAAGTAAGAACATTTTGATCGAATATATTGAATATTACTGTCTCTATTATGTTATGTAGTCAAAACTTCGATGGGTCCTTGATACCAAAAAATAGATTGATAACAAAACGTCTGATTGACTGTAAAACGCTAACGGTTCAACTGTTCAAGCAATATGCATCAAAATTGAAAAAAGTCACATTTTTCGGCGTTTTCCTACAACTACAAGATTGAAGATAATTTTTTTTAAGTTAATGAAATCTCTTCATCTTATCAGGTCATTCACAATTTCTTCTAAAATCGCATTTTCGCGCATTTTTTCCTGACGTATAGGCACTTTTTAAACTGTTTAATTGCAATTATTATTTCAGAAACGGCTCCAATTTTTCTCTTCATATCTTTCCTTGGATACAGTTGATAAATGAGTTTGAACTGGGCCCATTTTAGGTAAACTCTATGTTCAAAATTTGCAAAACAAAATTGAAGATAAATATTCCTGAGAAATGAAATGTTCTAAAAAATAGATATTAAATAGATAAAAATTAGATAATAATTAATAAAACTTGAACATTTTTTTGAAAATCTAGATTTTTTTTCTAATTTTTTCTTTAAGTTAATGCAATTTATTTTGAAAATTTCTCAAAGTGTCTCCAATTTTTATCTCAGATAACGTAAATGATGCTTAAAAAATGGAGTAAGTCAACGTTTCGGTCAACTCTTAGTATTTTTGAAAATTGCAGACAAAAAATTAACTTTGCGAAAATACTATATTAATAGTATTTTTCCTTAATGAAATTTGTTCTTAGTACGAGTTCTTGAAAATTTAAATGAATGTATCTAAATTTTTGAAAATTGCAGATAAAAAGTTCAACTATTTTTAATTGTCGGAAAGACTGGTGGTGTAGGAGCAGTGGGGCTGGCGTGCTCGATCTAAGAATTTCAATCGCAGGGCGAAGAAAAATGTTCTGCTAGTAATAAGCACCTTGGCAGCTTCATGTAGTATTTCAATAACACGTAGCGGTTACAAATAATGCGCGAAGGTATATGCTGTTGTGTATGAGTTGTGGAGCACTACTAGTTTAATTGAGAAAAAACGTGAGAGAAAAAAATGGTTTGGAACACGTAAGGTATTAAATGAGTGGAAAACTCAAGAGCTTTTTGAGCAAATAAGCTCAAAATTGCGCATATTCAAAAAAGCTTAAACGCCATTTTTTTCGAAAACAGCTCCATTACATAACGTTCTATATACGACGTTTATCACTCCGTATGGAGTGAACTATACGAGGAAGTTAAAAAAGGTCTAACGGTGCGATCGGTCCATTCGCGAAATTTTGATCTGCTAGTTTATATTTAGATTTATTCAGTCAAAAAAACAGTAAAAACTGTATGCGACGTAGAGGGAACAAGATTATATGCGCACGTTTTATTCAGTTCAGAATTCCTTCCCATCATTTTAACTATAAATAGTTGAAAGATGAGTAAACGTTTAACATAAAGAAATAAAAATACATTTTAAAAATAGCAATATTTGAAAAATCGTCATTTTCGTTTCTTAGTTATAGAAAACGTATTTGCATCGGTAAACGATCTCCATGTATGATTTTTCTGCATTGCTAACAAAATAGCAACCCGCCCTTACCTCTACTCTTAGCATTACGAGCAAAAGGAGAGCTCAACAAAACGTGCGCATAGTGAAGCAACATGTACATTTGCGTTTGGGCCCGCCCTCATTGAGTGATTGTGTGCCTCGGCTGCAGGCGCCTGACGGTGCACGTGGAGTCGGCGGGCCTGCTGGACTTCATCACCAACGGCATCATCAACACCGTCACGCTCATCTTCAAGGGGCTGATCGTGGACGTGGTGGAGGTGGCGGTGCGCTCGGCCTTCGAGAACACGCTGGAGAACCTCCACTTGGGCGACTACATCCTGGGCGGGAAGCGCAACTGAGCGCGCGCCCGCCGCGTCCAACCTCACTCCTCACCTCTCTGTTCCGATGGGAAACCAATAAACATTTCTACTCTTTTTAATTTACGTCTTTCCGAATATTACTCGCGCAACTTTTCTTGAACGATGACATTGCTTCCCCCTCTCTGGCACAACAAACAGTTGAAGGCAAAAGCTCGCAGCGAGCAATGGTGACAACATTCCAAACACATCTTTACAGGCCCGAAATAGAAACAATTTTCTTTTGAAGACGAGAGCTTCTATCCGTTATTTTATCCAAAAGATCTAAAGAATTGACCGAAGAAGGTAAAGAAGAAGGAGGTCAAAAGAAATACCTCGAACTCTTGAGAAAGTTAGATCGCAAATTATTGAGAACGTTGGGAAGGCATGACTGTTTCTCTAGAGATTGGTATATAATACATATTCATAAAATCTAGTGGCCGATTTCGTAACTAATACCCCCACTCTACCCCATTTCTTCAATTCATCGTTCAAGACAAGTTGCGCGAGTAATACCCCTAATTGAGTCAATTCTCCTTCCTTTTTTATGTTAGACCTGCTTCAGAAACGCTTCTAATTATTATCGAGTTGAAAATTAGTAAACATTTAAACATTCGCTTGATGAAATGATGAAAAAGTAAAAATACATAAGGTTTTAACAATTCGCGTGCATGAATTTGAAAGATTCGCTAGTCATATAAGTATTCAATTGCTACTTGAAGTGTACGCAGTATGGGTAACATTGAAAAGACTGTATGTTGAGGCTTCAATACACACTTGGATTTAAACATAACTGCCCCTGAAGTAAATCAGCTGTTGCGGTGTCATCCAATCGGGAAGTTGAACGTCACTTTACTGATGTGTGAGCTCCCTATTAGATGATACCGTAACAGCTGACGACCTATCGAATGCAGCTCCAAATACTCGAAGTATAGTTATAGGCCTTTGTGCGAGAACAGGAGGATGAAATTGGCGCCGCTGCTTATATAAACATACGACAAACGATCTTGGCTTCCTGGAAATTAACAATTGTGTTTTCAGCTCATTACAAATATTGAATATGTCAATGGCACAATGCTTGGCGTTATATTGATGTGGTTTTATTAAATTTGCGCGTGGATCTCGTAAGCTGATAATGCCTGCACACGTTTAATGCGCGCGTGCCAGCATTCATAGCGTCCAAAGAGTATACTTTACGTGACTGGCGAAGATTGTCAATTGCACTGATATTTGAAAGCTAACTGCTAGTCATTATTTTATAGGTGTACATGAAAAATACTTTCTGTCCGTGTAAAAACAATACAGCGGCCAATAGCTGTTCTTGGCTGGCGTTTCAGCGTTTCAACGTTTTGTAGCAAGCAAACTGACGTCTTCTGGGAAGTGAAGTTCCTTGAAATCGTAGCGTCTTGCGCACGCGATACAGATGCGTTAGGCTTGACCACACAATGCTGCGCTCTGGCAGCGACGCCGAAAAATACTGTAGATTAAATTAAGAAAATGATTTCGCGCATTTTTATCTCTGCTTTTAGTATCGCAGTTTTAGGAGAAAATAAACGCGCGTGACTCAAAAAATGTTCGCGCTCAGACTGGATTTCTGTCAAGGAGAACTTATAATTGTTCATTAGATGTTAGACGCCAAAATTTAAACAAAATGCGAATGCAAATGTGTAACAGGTTAAAGGAATGGATGGTTAACAGTATATCACAGTATGGTTCCTGTATTACCTCACCAGAAGACACTACTTTAAAGTAAAACTTGGAAGTAACACGAAGCACATTTGCAGCGCCTTCTCCTTAATCACTAAATGTGGAGTTTATTTATTTAACGTCAAAAATTGTCAACAATTGTTTGACGTACTGTGAGGATAAGTGCAATATGTGGTTTATAAAACTCCGGAATGTCAGTTGCATATTAAGTTGAATAATGATAACATGTAGCAACGATCGTTTTTGGCAAGAATTGACATAAACATATTTATATTCGCTCCCTTATAATAAAAAATTATTTGAAAAGACAAATCCGCTACGGATGTAGGCTAATTACCCCTAGTACTTTACGAAAATAAATCGACATACTGCTGCTAAAAATGAAAAACGATTATTCGAATATCTATATTCTGAAAGAGCTCAAGAAAACAATAGTGATTCTACATTTATGTCGAGAATCAAAACAAGGGGACTTCTTAACATTGGCTCAAGGATCAGTGAAAGTGGTCGATAATCCTGTTCGAGATGGTTTCTGGCCCAGGAGCTGAGGTATTACTATTATTACAAGTACTAGGTATATAGAACTTGTTACAGGCGTATTTAGTCTTTTAGAATTATACAGTTGATACAATAGATATCATTGCTAAACAAATATCACAAATCACGTGCCATTTGGCGTTAGGACGCCTCGTGGAGCTACAATTTGAAATGTTTCAGGGCAGGCGGCGCATCTTTCACGCTTTTTCAAAATAAGCGCAAAATAACTAGTGGTTGGAAGAATGGAACATTTTCATCTAGTTAGTAACCTAAATTCTTTAGAGTGGGCTAGGTTCCTAGGACTGCCCAAAGTTCTTTCCAGCAGCTAAATTTCGACGCATAAAAGACACTTTCACATTTTATCAATTTTTGGGATTCTCTAATTGAATTGCAATGCTACATTAAAATATTATAGAATGGTAAAACTTCGTCCTACATGTAATTTTAATTCAGAAATTTATAATAAGTTTATAATAATCAATCAAAAGTCAATTGCAATGTGACATTAAAATATTATAGAATGGTAAAACGTCATCCTACATGTAATTTTAATACAGAAATTTATAATAGGTTTTGAAAATAATCAATCAAAACTCTTTCTGAGAAAGAGATTTGGAACTCATTTTCATAAGTTTTGAGTTTTCGATAAATATTGTGAGAAAACATTTGAACAAATTCTAACCATTTAAACAATGTTCAAACAACTCATGTAACGTAAATATTAACGACCTTACAAGTTTCTTTTTAATTTAGTGGAAAATAGCTTTACAGATCTCTTGAAGTTGAGCACACAAACATGCTCAAAACGTCGAACATAAAGAACACAAAAACCCAGCACTCATGTCTTGATGTTAATCACTTTAAACACTGATCTTAAAATAATTATTTGGACAAAATTACACGAAATAATTTAAAGCACTTGTATCCACAAACAAGGCTGGTTTTTACTTCGGTGGGGACCCCTGGGCAAGAATTTGATGAGAGTAAATTAATGTTTGGTAACCATGCTGTGCATGAATTTAACAATGTTAAAGATGCTCTTCCCTCACTTTGCTTGCTACAAAATAGTCAATATCGTCAAACATGTCTCCCAAACTATCGTCATCCCTGCTTAAAAGAGCGATATCGTCAAGTTGTTGTTGAGTCATTGTCGTCGCAATCTGTTTTTAACTATTTTCAATTTTCAAAACGATCATTCAGCAGTGCAATAATTAGTTATCAAAATCAGATGTCCTTTCAAAAATTATTTCCACATTAGAAAAGCATCCCGGACTCATATGTATTAACAGTATATATAATGTTATCGTCTGAAATATCCATTTTCGGCTTCAAATCGTTTGAAAGCTATTCTGCGTATTCAAGAAGCTCAATCTTAAGATTTACGTCGAAATCTCTTATGTAAATTTGAGTCGACAGTTTTGCTTGTTCAATCAATTCTTCTTCAATGTTAGTCTAGCCAAGAAACCAAAACGTGTAGAGACCAATTCATATGCCGAAATCTGTTGATCCAACGATGATACGAATTCATGACGTGGCGTTCATTTTCGATGTAAAATTTTCGAGATAGTAGCAGGTCAACGTCTAGTGCATGTCCATAGTCCAATCGAATTAAGCGAAGATTTTTTTGACTTCTCTTGAATATCGCTTACTCTGAAGTCCCCACCTTTTCCATTTGACTATTCATAGAGTGAGAATGAGTAATGCTCCATCTCAGTGAAACCTCTTAGTGACTGTAGAGCTACAACACCGTATTCAAATTGAGCTTGCAATTCTGAAGAAGTTTAGCTCAGGCGTTTGTTAAGTATGTCGTTCCAAAATATCAATATTGGCCAATTTTCAAGTCGTATATTAGTTTATGTAAACCTTGAGTGTTGGAATATTGTGCAACATTTTCAAAGATTAACAATAGTGTAGGTTTATTTCGAAATATCCAAGCACAATTCTACGAATACAATTAGAATGTGATTAAAATTTGGGTCTGGAGGAGGGCGGCGCTACCGCATACTGCGCTCTCTACCACGTGCTCTCAACACTAATTAGACAAACAGAAGATATGAGTGTTGGGAAACTAATAACAAGTTTGTCTCTAACATTTGTTACTTTTTTCGTAACATTTGTAAGAATTGATTGGTCGTAACATTTATTCGCTAATTTTAGGTGACAACTATGTGGAAATGCCAGAGCTTCTGATTCACTGTTCCCTAGGTTAAAGCGCTGACGTTATCACGTGACCACGAAATGCCAATCACATTCTAATTTGATTCGGACCTTAATTCTTTAGTACTATTTACACGACATTAGATAGTATTTATTCTCTTTGGGATATTAAGGTGACCCTTGTCGGAATCTGTCAAAGATTTTTTTTCAAATTATCTACAAGTGTCATTGTATTGGTTTGTACAACTCGTAAAAAAAGTTTGGAAAAAACATTTTTTTCAACACACCATTCTGCTGCAGCTTTGCCAACGAGATTTTCAAATGGGCAACATAAATCCTCTCCGACAATTCGTTGACTGACTTTATGAGACAGAAGCGTTGTCGTACGACTTCCTCCGCAATGTTTAGTATCCATATTATTTGCATTTAAAAAGTTAATCAAATCGTCGTAAATATCCTGTGCCTTGGGACCTTCATTCTTTTGTCCCCTCCACAGTATCCCTGTGAAGAAGGGGAATTTATTTTCTATTAATATTTTTTATAATACGCTGCTGCCTTGCGGCTTAAGCAGCTACAGGCGGGGCTTTTTCTTACAACTAACTTACAATCTAGACCTAAAGTTATCTTAATTGCACTTTGGCATTACTAACTTAGACTAAAATCATTTTTCTAGTTCTATTTT